GGGGGGGGGGGGGGGGGAACCACGACTCCTCTACAGAAATACCACCATTATTCTTCATTTACAACATACCAGAAGTGACAATTTTGGGTGCACTTACTCAATTTCCAAAGGAGTACAAAACAGAAAAAACCCTACTCTTATGGAGATGTTAAAGTCTTAAAGCTATGAGAAAACCACAATGCAGTTTAATGTGATGCAGGCCCAGTTTCGTATGCCACAGACCATACAGCAAAGCCTGACAACCTAATTCATGATTAATTAAAGGTCATAGCCCTTATTTTCATCCAAGCAGGGGAGGGTGATAAGCTGCCATTCTGCTCTGAGCCCCACAGACCCAACTTTGTTTTGCACTAGCCAGAACGACTGTGCAAGATGCAAAGTCAACAGGACACTCATCTCAGCAACTGAGCTGACACAGCCACTAGAAAGCCATTGTATGACAAATGACAGGCTTGCTTCCACAATGAACGACTTCTTCTTGCAACAATCCCCCCCCCCAAGGTTAACTGCTACAAAAACTTTCCAGGTAGGTGTATATTTTCTGGAAGCGGTTCATTTAGTTAGACATATGCTAGCCTTCTACCATTTTATTTCTACAAGACAGGAAAACTCCACACTGGTCACATAAAGCCTCAACACCTCTCTTGTGAAGCAGTGTTAGCTCTTACATAGCTAAGGCCTGATTTTCAGAACTGATGAGCACCCACAAGGCCAGGGGGCTGTAAACGCTGAGCACGGAGAAGCCAGGCTGAGCCATAGCTGTTTGTTTCACAAAGGCCAAATTCCACCCAGCGGCTTCTACCCACAACTCATCGACTTCAGTGAGGCAAGCATGCCTAGCCCACGGCAGAGCTGTTTTACACACTGGCAACTAGGGAAACATACGCACTGTAACCTGGGTGGCACCAAGTATTTGCTCTTAAAAGTTTAAGGGCAGGGAGACACTTGCAAGTGCTGTAATAGAAAACCAGGTGAAAGCTTTATGGATCAAACCACACCCTCATGGAAACCTGCAAGAGTGGCATGCACAGACTATAAAACACATACAATATTGGTCCTGGGACTGCCCGTCCGCTTGTTTGCCCTGGAACAGGACAGTCCTGGGAGGACCTGTGTGTACTTGTCAATCAGGGTTCAGCAAGCAGCCAAAGGCACAGCTTCTTTTTTGGCCCTGGATACAATGCAATCCCAGGACTATAGTTCAGGCACACTTTGCTAAATCCCAGGGCACGCCATTTCGTGCATCCCACCCCACAACAGATCATAGAAAGTTAGGGCTGGAAGGGACCTCAGGAGGTCACATCTAGTCCAGCCCCTGCTCAAAGCAGGCCCATCCCCAACTAGATCATCCCAGCCAAGGCTTTGTCTAACACCTGAACAACCACATTTCATCCTGGGATAAAACTGTTTCTCCCAGGGACTGAAAGTAATGCCTCCCAGGAGTAGCATTTGGCTCTTTGCTGGCTTTCCCCCGCAAGTCTCTCCTTTGGGGGCTCTTGCTGGAGGCTGTATCCTGCCTCCCTGCAGAAACCAAACCCTGCAGCTGGCTCCTCACCCCCAGTCTTAAGGCCCTTCCCCACAAGATGCACAGGCCAGAGAAGCAAGCAACTCTCCAACCCACAAGGCCCATGCCCACCTGGCTTGCATTGCTGACCCCTGAACCTTGCAAAGTTGAGCCCCCCCTTCCTCACCTGATGAGCGCTGAGCAGGGCAGCGCCAGGGTCAGGAGCAGGGCCAGGCTGCGGAGCGCCATGGGTGCAGGTGCTGCAGCAGAGCTGCCTGCTCTTGCAGGAATGACTGAGCAGCAGCAACAGCAGGGGTGGTCAGCTGACAGCCTAAAATTGCCAACTGAGGTCACATGACCAGCAAGGGGTGGGGGGGGGAGGAATTAACCCTGTCCCTGCAGCAGCAACCTGTCAGCATGAGTCAGCCCTTGTGCAATCGTGAGACTTGGCTCTGGTTTCCTTTGCTTTCCTCTGGCTAAAGTGAGAAGCCGCCTTTCTTCCTCCCTCCCCTGCCAGGCAAGCAGAAATTCAGAGCTCTTCCCACGACCCGCACTCAGCGTTGCCAGGGCTTAAATGTGAAACCATCGTATTGGAAGTGCAAAATTAGTTTTTCAGCAAATACAGTATCATACACTGAAAAAATATACAAACAACTGTGCAAATCAGTGTGCAAATAAGCCGCCTTCTTATTGACTTGATATGGCTCGCTGTAACTTGCTGGTGAGTGAGTGAGAAATGAATCAAAGTTGAAGCATTTCTTTATTTCGAGGCAAGGAGTCATAAGAAAGCACTGACAGCAAACCCGAAAGCTGGTTAAGGCTCCCTGAGGGTGACTTGGGTTTTTACATATGCTGCATCAATAAGCTGCCTCAAAAATCATTGTACATTTTGAACACTTTTACCATTATTGATTGTACATCATATAAGGGTTGAAATTATTGTACAAATACAATCATCATGCACCTCGGCAACACTGCATTCACTCCGAGGCATAGGGATGGGAGCTGCTATTTAGCAATACAAGGACGTAGTGGGGGAGCAAACCTGTCCCATGCCTCCTTCTCCCCTTTTTCATGAAGTGTAGAGGCGCACCTCGCAGATTAACACAGCCAGGGTGCCACAGGATGCCTGGGGAGCCTTTCCATGGCATGCCCTGCACTGTTAGGTGAGCAAGATAAAACCAGAGATTGTCAAGAGGAATCCATAGCATTACAAAACCAATCTGATCTGTTGGGGGTCTGAGTTCTTCACCACAGAAGAACGACTCTCATATCTTTCTCAAGTCAAAAAACAAGTGGAAACTAAGAGCTGGCATTTTCAGAGGGGCACCGTAAGTCTAAAAAGAAGGGTGAAAACCACGGGCCTAACTGAATCAGAGATGCATGAGCTTTTGTAGGCAAGCTCCCTTCAGCAGGTGCTAGGCCTCCTGCCTGACTAACACAGCTAAGTACCTCTCCCTCTCAAGTGTAGGCTTGCAAACTTCCCTGTGGCCTTGGCAGCTACTGCTCACCTGGAGTCAGGGAAGTATTTAACATAATGGCACCTGCCTTTTCATGCAGTCCAGTAGCCAGAGATGAGGAGGTAACCCTACTCAACCTGCCAGTTCTCTAAAGTGCAGGAGCAAGAGCCTTGTGGGCCCTCAGTAGATCACAATGTAGGAGTCCTTGGCAGGTTTGTGGTACCTTGGCTCCTGGTCCCCAAAGTCTGAATCCTGTATGGGAGGAGACATCCTTTCAAGATGGGGGAAACAGGTCCTTTGGCTTTTTCAGAGGCTAAAAGATTACTGCTGCCCAGTCTCAATGGAGGTTGTGGATCCTGTGGCACTTCTTTAGAAGCAACTGGCTCTTGGGCAAAAAATGTGCCCCTTCCAAACATTGTGGCAGCTCCTGTCTAGCCTAAAGATGGAAACACAAATCCTGGGTGAATTGTGTGCAAAATCTTTGTGATCTATCCAGATGGAAAACACTATATACATGGAAGATAACTGGTGGGCTCCTCCTGTAGTGTGGGTTTAGGTCACTGACTCTTCTCCCAGGACCTAGCCTCCGAGGCTATTTAAAGTCCCAGAGAAACATCCCAATGCAGGGAGGGAACTGCCAGTGTGGCAGAGTTCCCGTGAAGACCCCTACCCCACTCCATCACCTCTGCCAGCATACAGAGTGGAGCTGGAGGAAGGGAGGTGTGAACAGGATGGCCTTACTCTGCACAGCTTGCTAAGTGTCCTTACGCTGCACACAGTAGCTCCAGACTCAGTGGAAAAGCAAAGTGCTATCTCTCTGTCCTCATCTGCCACTTGCTTATGCTGTGGGGTACTGTTCAGAAAGCACATTAAGATGTGGGCAGAACAGTTAATCTCTAGGGTCAGAACTCAGGAATCAACCCCCCAAAATCACAAGGCTGATTTAAAACTCTGGAGGAATAATAAATGTTGGCCTCCTTCCCTTTTTCTCCTGGGTTTTGAGCCTTTAAAAAAAACAACTGGTTCTCATTTCAAGCCTCTCTTTTCAACCATGAGCTTTAGAAACATTCAAACCAAACCAGACCAAACTAAACCAAGCCAAACCTTGACATTCTTAATTCCAGCATCCGGACCAGGGAGAAAACACTAGATATCTCATGACTCACAATAAGAAACATGGGAGCTGGCAAAGCTGACTATAAGCAATGTAGTTTTGAGTGCATTTTTTATCTGACTGGAATCGGTGGGCCAGGTTTAACAATACACTCCGGGTGCTTCAGGCTTATGTGAAATAGTGAATCTGGCTCCTATATGATCCATGTTGCCAAGAGGTAATAGAAGCCAGGGATTTTCTTAACGAAATGTATCCCTGGAATTTGAGATCTTCTTTTGAGTGAATGTAAAAAATGATAATAATTCAGGGGCCAGCAACATATTACCCACAGACTGGATTTCATAGATTTCATAGACATTAGGGCTGGAAGGGACCTTGGAAGATCATCGAGTCCAGCCCCCCGCCCAAAGGGCAGGAAGTCAGCTGGGGTCATAGGATCCCAGCAAAATAAGCATCCAATTTGCTCTTGAAGGTGTTCAATGTAGGTGCTTTAACCACCTCCGATGGCAGGCTGCTCCAGACCTTGGGGGCTCGGACAGCAAAGAAATTCTTCCTTATGTCCAGCCTGAAACCGTCTCGCAGTAGTTTATGACCGTTCGACGTCATCATCCCTTGGGGGGCTCTGGTGAACAAACGTTCCCCCAGATCCTGGTGGTCACCCCGATAAACTTATAGGTGGCCATCAGATCACCCCTGAGCCTGCGCTTTTCCAGGCTAAAGAGCCCCACGGCTTTCAGCCTGTCGTCGTAAGGTCTGTTTTCCTGACCTCCGATCATGAAAACATGGATCTTGCCTGCAGAGCAACTGGACCCAGCCCACGGAGCTGGGGCTTTGGAGGTGTTCGGTGGCAGAGGCTTCTGGGTGGCTGGGAGCTTTCCTGCACCATGCCACAGCCAGGCTGCAGGGAGAAGTGGCTGTGGGAAGAAGCGGGGGTGGTGGCAGCTTGGTCCTAGCATTGGCCCAACTCGGACCTGAGCTTGGCCAGAGTGGCCTGCTGCTAGAAAAGGTTGGCGACCCCTAGTAATAGCAGAGTGGCAGGAAATGCTGTTTTGAGCAGTACCAGTGAGGAAGGGAGGGAAGAACAAGGGGCCCAGCTTCTCAGAAGATTCAGTAGTTGTTAACGGCACCAGACTTGCAACCCTTCGTTTATCTGCTACATAGATACAGCTGGGGCTTCTCCACACTCAAACCCACTGAGTTTCTATTTTTCTACTCAGGTTGCCAAGTTCCTGTTGTAGTAATCGGTTGGACTTGGTGCTGTAGATACCATATTCCCACAAATGATCTGTGTGGGATTCAAATGCCCCCTGCTGGAAGACCCTACACATCCTCACCTCCACTCCTTCTCATTTCTTCCTGCTCCCTTTGCCCCTCCTAGTCTTCTTTCCTGCAGCCCCTTTCTCTCTCTCAGGCTCATATCTCCATTTTGTGCTCCCTCCCTTTGTGCTTCCGAGTGTCCACCAGGCACCCTTTCTCTTATGCCAGATCTATTTCTTCCAGGAATCCTTCCTGGTCCACTCTCCCTCATGATAATCTCTCCACACCCTTCTAATGTTAACTTTTATGTCATGTCTCACCTGGGATCACCTTGACATCTAATGATTGATGGATAAGGCACGTGTCTCCTAGACTAGAGTCAGGTAAAATGAGGTGGGAACTGGTAGCTCTCTAGGAGATAATTATACAGCTCAAGGCCTGAGATTTTTAGAAAATGAAATTTGGTGCCCTGTTTGGGATGCCCTTAATAGGCTCTTACTTTCCAAGAGAACTGAGACTATATTCATGGAAAGTCATGGCCTTTTAAGGGGTTATCAGTTAGGCACCCAAAATCTCAAGTCCCTTTGGAAAGCCTTAGTGCTATTATTATACAGGTTTATGATGCACGGCATTAATTTCTGTATTTCCTTGCTATTCTCCAAAATGTATTGACAATACCTGCCGGTGTATTCTGGTCTCATTGAATTATATCTAGTTCTTTTAGACTGCATTTCTGCTCCCCCATTCTCCCTTTACTTCATTCAATTTAATCTGTGCAGCTTAGACCAACCTGCAAAGACTGGATCGATTCAGCCTCAGGCCTTTTGACTGTCTGTACCTAGCCCAAGGTTTATGAGTACCACATTTCTATAGCTCAATGCACAACAACTCTGTGTTTGGAAAGGGCCATTTTCACATCAGGGTTTCCAAATACCTAGATTTTTCTACTCATAAGGAACTATATTCAGTAGAATATATTAATCAACATGCTTGTTACCTGCTGCCAGGATGTAATGACTGACCGTTTTTGGAAGATAAATTGACAAGAGGGTGAGAACAGCTGAGTGGCATGCATTAACTGGGGTTGCGTCTTTTAACTCTGGTTAAAAGTTAGGTGCCAAGACCAAGATTTTTCCAGAACGCATAGTATTTTGGGGCTCCCTGCTTCAGACTCCTTCACCAGGGCCAGATTTTCAAAAGCCCAAAACTCAACATTTTCTTGGAAATGGAATCAGTTGTAGGCATCTTATGTTAGACATCCAAGAAAACACTAGTTGTTCCTGGAGAGTTTGGGCCCTAACTGTAACTTGTCTGATGTTTAAACCCCTTCCCCTGCCAGCAGTAGGAGATGCAGCCAGTTACTTTGTTGTTGGTCAGTGAGTAGTTTTCCAAGTCACCAACATACATTGGCAAGTTTGTAGAGTAAGAACAGCCTCCTTCCTGCGCTCGGGCTTGCTCAGAGAGGATTAC